GTTTATAAGAAGCTGAGAAGAACAATTCTTTTGAAGAGAACCATACTCAATTTTCCTTACCTCTATTTTTTTCTGTAGGATTTTTATTTTATTTTTATTGATCTTAGAGAGGAAGGGAGAGGGAGAAAGAGAACATCAATGATGAGAGAGAAATAAGGACCAGCTGCCTCCTGCACACCCCACACTGGGGATTGAGCCCGAAACCCCAGAAATCGAACTGTGACCTCCTGGCTCTTAGGTTGATGCTCAACCACTGAGCCACTCCAGCTGGGCCAGATCTGTGGAAGAGGAAAGCCCCCAAAAAAAGTCCGGGTGGAGGGAGCAGGTAGACAGGCCAGCAGCCGGAGAAGAGAGGCATCACCCTGCTGGCTCACCGCAGTAGCCGCCTGCTTCCTCGCTGCAGCCCAGGGGTCAGGGGAAAGCAGCGGCCTCCAGCGGAGCCCGCCCCAGCCCACTGGTGCTCTGTGAACACATGTGGTGAGTGAGGATGGAGGAGGGCGGGAGAGGTGGGAGGACAGGACAGGACAGGAGGCAGGGGGGGCCCATGGCTAAGGAGGACAGAGGAGACCCTGGGCCACTGGGAGCCCCATGGTGTTACAAGCATTAAGGAGCCTTTTGCTGCACCTGACATGCTCTGTGTTAGAACAACGGGTCCTGTTCAGAGAGAGACCGTTTCCCCACAGTTAAAACTGATGGTGTGTAGTTATCACTTCCTTAAATCACTAACGTTCCCATCAAGGTGCCGACTGCCTCCTGCGCCCTCAGGCAGTGGGCCGGTGCCAATAAAACCCAACAAGAACTCATTACCACGTGAGGGAGTCCTGATGGGCCGAGTGAAGCAGAGACACGTGGATCCTCCCACAGACACCGGCCCTTCCGGACCGAGACTGCTTCATCGCCCTCTTGGCCTGACTTTCAGCGGCGAGTGTTCAGCCCAAGACGCAAGACGCAGAACGAGGACGTTTAAAGACTCTGCCATTTTACTGGTTGGCAAGCTTGATTAGAAACTGAAGTGCTTTTTACCTAAATGTTTGTGTTTGTGGTTTTACATATAAATGATGTACATAGAGTATAAAGTCAGAAGTAGGAATTTCCACTGACTGCACTATTTCTTGAGAGACTGCTTTGCTGTTCAGCTCACCCGGTTTCACGGAATACCCTTTCCTATAACTACGCAGGAATCCTGGTGGCAGGAAAGGGAACACGTTAGTTACATGTGAGATGCAGGCCTGCCTCCTCCAGGGAATTGGCATTGAGCCTAAGGAAGATTAATGGTTGTTTCCTTCTCTGCTTCCTACTGCAAGCCTCCATGCAGGTGGGACAGATGTGAGGAGCTTGGCACCGAGCAGGGCCAGGTGTGACTTTCCTAATGAATTTGGCTGGAAACCCACGGGCACCGACTTCACTCTCAAAAAAGTATCCCTGAGAGGGCGGGCCTCTTCCCAGTGATGTTGTCTAGATCTGCCTGGAGGTGTGGTCTGTGGCAGCATCTCCCCTCCACCTGGAGCGCCTCTTTCCTTCCAGCTCAGGGGTGAGGCTGGAAGGCTGGCCTTGGACCAGAATGGCCGGGGGCCAGGAGAGGTGGGGAAGCCCAGGCTGGGTCCATGGAGGTAGTGAGATTCGGGGGGTCAGCTGCTGCTGCACCTGAAGCCCCCACGGAGCAGGCCAGTGATAGAAGCAGGGGGCAGGGACGGAGGCTGTGGCTCTAAGCCTGGCACCTGGCTGGGCTTCAGATTTGGAGTCACCTGGGACTTCAGAAAGGACTCCTTCTCATCAGCTCTTGTGACTGTCACGGGTCTGTAATTATTATTATTTTTTTTGTATTTATGCTTTTCTGAAACTTCCATATGTTCTGCAATAAGCATTTATATTGTAATTTAAAACATTTAATAGTATAAAAATATAATTATACTCCTGTGAATTATTTTTAAGAAGTAACTTCATAGAATTAAAAGCAACTATAAGCACAATATTTACTATAGCTTTATCTTTGTTACTTAAAAAAATGGAATAGCTTGAATATCAGGCAAAAGTGGAATAGTTAAATAACTTGTATATCCACTCTACCAAATATTGTGAAATCATTAAATCAGTAATTATGATTGGATTTAAATATTATAAATATGATTTTGATAGAGTAAAAACTGAAGATGTCCAAGTACTATGCAACTACGTAAAACATATCTTCATTTGGCAAGGTCTGGGAGAAATGTGTAAACACAAAAATAATTACATTAGCGAGTGAAGAGTGTGGATATATATTTTTAAGTTCTTATATTGCCCTTCATATTGCAGAAGAGTCCAATGTGATGGCCCCTAAGCAAGCACTTTCAGCAAAGACCAGGGCAGTGGGAGACCCTGCATGGTCTTTTCATATAGGTTGCTTGATTCAGTCTGTCCACACTTCCACACTCAAGCCTTGCTAGAGGGTATGTTTGAATCACGGCACTAATCTGAGTTATGTCTTAAATTACAAGTCGGTCACCTACCCGGGGTAGCAGCAGAGTATGACACGCAGAGGTTGAAAGAAACGGTGGCGAGTTGGCAGTTATTTTTATTGCAACAATTGGAGGATTCTGTGAAAGAGCAGACAATGGACTTCTTAAACCAGCAAGAAGGTCCCTCAATCTATTTCCACCAAAGTCCAAGCTTGTTAGGAGAAATCAATAGAATCACTTTTCCCCTAAGAAATCATGATCACATGTCAGATGCATTCTGGTTCGGTTAATCGAATTTAGGAAGTGCTATCCATGAGTAACAATGTTAAGACACTGCTTATTTGAGCTAATAAAATGCTGAAGGAGAAATAAAATAAAGTCCTCCAGTTGATTCTTCCTCTAAAAGGTCAATAACTGGGTGAGCACACCCAGGCAGAGGTTAGGTGGCCAGGAATGAGATGTGTTGGCAGGTCAACTGTGTGGCCATCTCTTCTGGATACAAATAGTGGTGATGTTCCAATGAGAGAAGGGGAGAATGAATTTGGGGAGCCATTTAGCAATCTTTGGTCACAAGAGGCATCGAAGAATTTTAATAAGGAAGTGATACATTTAGTCCAGTGGTTATGGGCATCTCTGCTGGCCCTGAAGCATGAGAGGGAAGGGTGTGGTGCCGGGAAGGTGTAAAGCAGGGCAGGGAGCAGCCAGGGTGTGCTGTTGTCAGAGACAACTAAGAGCCAGACCCCGTTCACTGTCTTTAATTACTGAGTGGGAATTGCAGGTGGTAACGTAAAAAAATAATTCAGACCTGTAAAGAATTTTGTGCGTTTATTTCAGCCAAACTGTCGACATATGCCAGGAAGCAGAACCTTAATGAACTGAGATATTGCTCCTGAGAATGGCGGGTTACATCACAAGATAGTTTAACGCAGTGGTCAACAAACTGGCTCGCGAGCCACAGGAGTCTCTTTGGCCCCTTGAGTGTGGCTCTTCCACAAAATACCACGTGGGGGCGCACACGGACAGTACGATTGAAACTTCGTGGCCCATGTGCAGAAGTTGGTTTTTGGCTCTCAAGAAATTTCAATCCTTGTATTGTTGATACTTGGCTCTGTTGACTAACGCGTTTGCCAATAACTTGATAACAATAATATGCCCTGAGGGGTCCGGGGTAAAAAGGAAGTTACATGTTACTCAGACATCGCACAGATAGGTTATCTTAGAGGCAAAAAGGCAAATGGGCTCAGTAAAGATCTCAGTTGATCTTTGTCAGTGAAAATATCGGCCTAGAATATGACTATCCACTATAACCTGTTTGTAGTTAAATATTTAATCTTCAGACCATCTTTTGGGGTTATTTTAGGTCTCTTGCAGGACTGCCATGCAGGCCTCCCTGAGCTTGTCAGGTTAGCATGTGGTTCCTTTCGTCCACACAGGAGCTCCGTGAGGAAGCTGTTTTATACGAGTGACAAGGTGGACACAGGACCTGGGGGGACAAAATATGGAGGAACTAGACGTGTTAGGGGAGAACCAGACGTCAGCAAACATCGTGGTTGAAAAGGGCTGCCGGGCCGAAACTGCTTTGGCTCAGTGAGTAGAGTGTCAGTCTGCGGAATGAAAGGTACCGAGTTCGATTCCTGTCAAGGGCATGTACCTTGGTTGCGGGCACATCCCCAGTAGGGGGTGTGCAAGAGGCAGCTGATGGGTGATTCTCTCTCATCGATGTTTCTGACTTTCTATCCCTCTCTCTTCCTCTCTGTAAAAAACAATAAAATATTAAAAAAAAAAAAAAAAAAAGGCTGCCGGGAGGGGCATAGAGGAAGCCGAAGAGGAGAATCTGCAAAACGAAAACTCCTCCAACGGGCGAGCTGGCACGTGGCCTGGGGAATCGTGCTATTTTTCAAGTATTTCCAAACCAGATGAGGAATGTTCTCCTACTTAGAACTTTTTATGTTCAAGCCGTTAATCTAATTCGCTTTCTCCACTGGATCCAAGTAACCGGTTCACCAACTTCCTCTAGGACCCGCTGTCTCCTTCGCCCCCACCCGCAGCGGCCCTGCTGGCTTTGCCCGCAGGTGACCGGCCAAAGGCAGACAGGCTAACGACCCGTCTAGCTCTTCTTTTCACGACTTCCAGCAAGTACAGAGGCCGGCGGTCTCCAACAGGAGAAAACAGCCGTGACTGGGGCGGAGCATCCTTCTTCCAGGCCCACCCCAGGCCTAAACCAGCTGCAGGACCCTCAGGGCTATGAACCCGAAGGAGGCACAACCTGGAGGAGGCGGAACCTGAAGGAGGGGGAACCTGGAGGAGGCGGAACCTGAAGGAGGAGGAACCGGGAGGAAGCGGAACCCTCATTGGAGGCGGAATCTGAAGGAGGCGGAACCTGGAGGACGCGTAACCGGGAGTGGCGGAACAAGGTCGGGGATATCTAGGGGCGATGGAACCTTGGATCCTGCGGAACCAAGTGGCGACGCCCACGGAGCCGCCCGGACTGTGTTGGAAGCGGAAATGCAGAGGCCCCGCTTCCGGGTTGCGGGTCGGCCGAGAGCCAAGTCTGCAGCAGCGATGTTGCCGCTCACGGTGAATTTCAAGGTGTCGGCCCGCACCCTCACCGGGGCCCTCAGCGCCCACAACAAGGCGGCGGTAGACTGGTGAGGGCACCGGGCCCCAGGCCGCCGGGCGCGGCCAGGAGTTTGAGGGAAGGGGACAGACCGAGGTGTCACCCGATTCCTGTGGCCTCGCGAGAAGGGGTGCCGCCCTCCCGTCATGGAGATGATCTCTTCCGCGCTGGATGGTTGTTGCTGTAAAAGCAGTAAATGCCTCGCGTGGGCACTTGCCGCGGGCACATATATTCGCCCGTCCTTCCTCACATCTTTGTTTCTCTGTCCCCACACCTGCCGGAAGCACCCCGTTTTCCTCTGCCTCTCCCCACTCTGCCCCCCGGGGTCTCCCTCCGCTGACCTGCCCCACCTCTCTCCCCCAAGTCCGCCCTCCCCTTCACCCTGCCCTGCCCCCGACCTTGATTCATTCCGCCAAGCGCCACGGGGCCAGGCACCTGTTCTCCACCCGCCCTTCACTTCCGGCACCTGTTACAGTGAAAGCCCCGCGGCTCTGGCGGGGCAGTTAGACCAGCGGCCAGCGGGCTCTGCGGCGGAGGTCGCTGGGGACGTTGGCCTTAGGGCCGCCGCCTCCGGTCTTGCTACCTGGTGGGAGGGACCGGGACTGACCGCAGATGTCACACCGGCCCAGGCGCTGGGCGGAGGCTGAGGATTCCAAGTCGAGGAGGAAGAGGAGCATGGCCTCCAGGATGGAGGACAGGAGCTGCTTCATTCTTCCTCGAGGCCCTGTGTGCACATCTCCTAGAGCCTTTTTACCTACACGAAACACGAATTCCAACAAGCATTTGTTGCGCTCAGGCAAACATTTTATGTAGATGAGATAATGTGAAAGGCTGACGACCTTTGGGCTTAAATAGTCATGTTACTAATGGTAATTAATACCTAGTAAGTTATATGTCGTTGACTTAGGGCGCCTCTTGCTTTGCTTCACCTGAATTTCCACCTTACTGTTTTGTTAGGGGCTGGCAAGGTTTAATTGCGTATGGGTGTCATTCCCTGGTGGTGGTGATCGATTCCAGCACTGCCCAAACCCTTCAAGTTTTAGAAAAGCATAAAGCTGATGTTGTGAAGGTAAGTCCGATTCCACTTTGGCCCAGTAACCTGGTGTCTGTTCTGAAGTGTTAAATAGGGCTACACTCTCATTAAATCATACGTATAAATGTCGGACAGCTTTGAGCTATAATAATCTATTTGGGTAACCTAATACTTCCATGCATATGACTTAATGTCATTCCAGGACGAGCTATGACATGCTGGTTCTTAGGTCATTTTAAGGCTGATGGAAAACACCAGAGCTGTCATTTGCCGGATCACTCATTCGTTATTAGTTTTGGGCACTTGGCATGTACCAAGGACAGAGAAGTGAAAGCCTTCAGACAATTCACTGTCTAGCGAGGAAGAAGGAAAGCACAAATACGGTGTGATGAGTGAGACGTGCACAATGTGCTGTGGGGAGACTAGGGGCTACATGTTACCTGGTGGTAGGGATCTGGAGTATCATGGAAGTCTGCGTTTCTGGGCCATATAAACTGTAGGCAGGCACAGAATACTTTTGGGGAGGAGCAGGGCGGGAAAGAGGACGAGTATACACCCAGGGAAACAGTGTGCACACGGCTAAAGGACGGGGTACACGTGTTTAACTTCATCCAGCACCAGTGTTTGCTTGACCCGCCTTCTCCTCGCTGCCAGGTTAAGTGGGCCAGAGAGAACTACCACCATCACATCGGCTCTCCCTACTCCTTGCGCCTCGCGTCTGCCGACGCCAGTGGGAAAATCATCGTTTGGGATGTAGCAGCCGGAGTGGCTCAGTGTGAGATCCAAGAGCATGCCAAGCCCATCCAGGGTGAGGGGAGGCTACGCTCTGCTGTTTGCATTCGTGCACTTTCTCTTAGTGTGTTTTCCCCCATTCATTCAATCTCATCACTTCCCACTGAGCTCTGGATTGTGTTTACCTTGGTCTCCGGATCTGAATCTAGTTGTTTTTTATCCTTATACTTCTGGGCATATTTCCTCGAAACCCAGCTGATTTGAGTTTTGGTAAAGTGCATTAATTTCAACATCTGCCTCAGTCAAGCTTGATGAGAAAAATTAAGCCAGGATAAACAGTCTTGTTAATGAAGCTCTAGGATAAGTAAACATTGCCAAACTGCTATTTTATATTAGCCCTCGGTGCTTACTTTCCATTAATAGAGATGATCAAAATATTTTCATTTTTATATAAATAATTTGTTTGCTTGTTTACTTGTCTTAAAACCAATAAGAGTATTCTATGAACTCAAGGATTTGGCTGATGGGCTGTTTGAATGAGTGAATTTTTTTAAATGGCAGTATAAAAAATATTTGAGTACTTCCTATGTACTAGGTACTGAGCTAGATCTTTATCCTGTTGATGGTTGTGAAAAAACGTGAAACCGCAAAGCCCCATAAAGTAATTCCACAAAAACGTTAGGAAAGTCTGGCACCGGAGATCATGCCTGGAACAGTCTTTGACATAAAGTTTTAAGTATTGATTTCAGCAAATAGCCTTGTATCTTCTTTGAAGTAATATTTCAGATTACTTGCCAATTTTAACCTTGAGATGCCAATGTCCACACATCTAATTTTTATATAAAATTAACTTTCCTCTGCAATCTTGACCCATAGACACATCTATGCAACACTGAGTGGGAGGGTAGTTAAGAGTTTAAGGAATATGTAAAAAGACGCCTCACTACGAAATATCAAGGAGAGTCAGTATCCAGGTGGGTGCTCACTAGGCTCTGCCTGGTCTGGTCTTTCAGACGTTCAGTGGTTATGGAGCCAAGACGCCTCCCGAGACTTGCTTCTCGCCATCCACCCGCCAAACTACATTGTGCTCTGGAACGCGGACACCGGCACCAAGCTCTGGAAGAAGAGCTACGCAGACAACATCCTTTCCTTTGCTTTCGACCCTTTTGACTCTTCCCATTTAACTTGTGAGTGACGGTTCCCTGTGGAGATAACGAGTGAGGTGTTTATAATGCGGTGACACTGTGTACATAAGTCACATACGTCTGCACCCACACTGTCCGAGCCGCTGAGCAGCGGGGGAGACACCCCTCCGAGCTTCTCCTACAGGCATGAGTCGTAGCCTGCCGCTGCCGATGCAGGCGCTGCCTCAGCCCACAGCGATGGCAGGTGTTTGTACTTAGATGTTGGATTCAGCAGCTGGACTCCACTTGTTGAATTTGTGTATAGAATTAGGTTAGTCAGAGAGAATCACTGTGCTGTTCTAACTCAAATTTAATTAAACTTGTTTTTTCTGGAACATTTAAAGAATCTGAGTTAAGGATTTCATTTAATCTGGCCAAATTCAGTCTTCCCTTTTTAAAAAACACTGTTCTAACTAGGGCCATCACCAGATGCATGCAGGGAACAGAGAAGCCCAAGGGAGTTTTTTCCTGCAGAAGTTGCTTTTACCAACGTGCAAAGTAAAACAGGAGAAAGAAGATTTTGTTTTTAGACAGATATTTTTATGACTTAATTACTTAGAAAACATTTTTATCCAATTATCCAACAGACGTTTCTTGAGCTTTTACTATAAGGGAGGCATGTTCTGGGGCCTCGAATGTATCTGTGAGACAAGGCAAGGACTCCGCCCTGATCAGGTTTGTGTTCTAGTGAGAGGGAGTCAGGTCTAACCTCAGAGCATAATGAGTTAGTAGCGCCTAGTGTGTTAAGAGGTTGTAGGTGGTATAACAGAGTGAAACAGCATAAAGGGAACAACACGGGGCCTGCTGTGTTGGATGTAGGCCCCTGTTGGTATTCTACCTTTCCTCTAGATCCACAGAGAAAAAGAACTCTGGACATCCTAAGATTTCATCTGAGGATCAAGAAGAAAAAGACATATTTAGACTGAGTAGTTCATGATAATCATAAATTTATATCATCAAGTCAAATATTTGAACCTAGCTAAGTGTGATAAGCAGGGCCTCATATATACAGGGTGTCCCCCAAAAATATGTGAATAATTATAAAGGCAGTGTTTATTAAAATACATTTCATTTCCAAATGTAATAGAATCTACATTGTGTGTATACGTTTTTGGGGGACACCCTGTACATATGGGATTTTTGTGATTTTATATTAAGAAAAGTATTTAGATGCTACAGCTATAGGATATAATGAGGGAAGGTTTTTAATGGAAGTCCATGCACTGAATTATTTGAAAGAACAAACATTTGTTATTTTTCTGCCAGGTATCTTTTTTGTTTTGTTTTGTTTTTTAAATATATTTTTATTGATTTCGGAGAGGAAGGGAGAGGGGGAGAGATAGAAATATCAATGATGAGAGACAATCATTGACCAGCTGCCTCCTGCATGCCCCTACTAGGGATTAAGCTCGAAACTCAGGCATGTGCCCTTGACCGGAATCGAACTCAGGACCCTTCAGTCCACAGGCCGACGCTCTATCCACTGAGCCAAATGGCTAGGGCTCTGGTATCTTTATAATATAAAACATTAATTTAGAATGCTGAGCTTGGAGGCCTCAGATGAATCGTAATGGGCCACCTGTTTCACTTCAACTTGGAGAACATTCCCGTTATGACTGCAAACGCTGCCAGTTCTGTATTGTTAAAATTATCGTTACCTTGCTCTCAACATCATATTGGAGAAAACTGTGCTAAACTTGATTAAATTTGAATTGGGTTTGCTTCTCCATACAGTACTTACCAGCGAGGGCATTGTGTTCATCTCAGACTTCTCCCCATCCAAGCCTCCCTCAGGCCCTGGGAAAAAAGTCTACATATCCAGCCCGCACTCTAGCCCGGCTCACGGCAAGCTGGCTGCCGCCACGGGGGCTAAGAAGGCTCTTAATAAAGTCAAAATCTTAATCACGCAGGAGAAACCTAGGTAAGTTAAAGGTGTGAAGCTGACAACAGCCTTCATCTGTTTATCGTCTCTTCTTGAAAAAAATCAGTTTTGAACTTGTACTGTGATTGATTTTCTTCATCTCACGCTTTCTCCCTTCCACTTCTGAATGTTCTTTTTGTCTCCTCCCCTTAGAGGAGACTCAGCATTTAACCTGGCTCCTTGTCCTCTCATTGTGCCACACAGTCCGACCCCCGCTGACTTTTACTGATTAACATTTTTGTCTTCTGATATTTACTTTTGAAATATTGAATGAATGTTCTAACATTGTGGCTATTGAATATATTTGAAATTTGAGGACAAAATCTGGCTTTTATTTTAAAATAAATGCTGTGCAATTTCTTGAGCTATCAAATATAGGTATTTTTCTTATGCATGTAGAGATGTTTCTCAGACTGGTTAAGAGCCAGGATTCTAGAGGAAATGGTAGCTCTCTGACTCAGAAAATTCTTCCCTCTTGCTCAGATTTCACTCTCCCAATCTCTAACCTCGTGTTCTAGGGATTTCCCAGGGATACTGTGAGGGCTAACAGATGCGGTAACTTAGGTACTTACCACTGTGGCTGATACTTCATGATCGTTCACTAGGTAAATCCTAGCGATCATTGTTCATATCAGAAGCTGCGGCTGAATAAGATTTCATTTTACGTAACTTGTTTTATGCATTGGAAGTGGATTTCTGTATTCTTCCTAGAGCCATGATTATACTTTCATTTTTATTGCTTTGGCAGTTTTTTGGGCATTTATTTTAAAAGAGCTTTACTTTTAATATGCTAAGATTATTCTATCTAGACTTTGTGGTAATCACCTGAAAATATATGGTAAAATACAAATTGCTCTACAAATACACTTTTAATTTATATGTAAATATAATTTTTATATATTAAGCTACAGGCTGGTTAAGTTCACTAATTTACCCCCAACCCTGTGCCAAAATAATTTAAGATAGCTCCTTAAATAGCATATGAGAACTTTATATTTATTTTTCATTGATTCTGTCTCATAAAGAAATAATTATTTTGTGGCCTGAGTGGTTTTATAAGTTATGATTTATATATATTACATTTTTTCTCATATGAATCATGTTCACCTTGAGTTTAGGGAAAATGAATTATGAATACCTTCAAACAGAAGTGCTTTGGGTTTTCACATACATTATTATATTTTAATCTTGCTACAGTCCTGAGCAGTGGTACTGGTCCCACGTTATTAATGAGGAAATTGTGTCACACGGTGTTTTAAGTGCTACTCAGCTCACCCAAACAGGAAATGCAGAGCCAGGAGTTTAATGCAGTCCACATTCCTCTCGCTAGTCCTCTAACTTTATTTTAAATTTCAAAACCTCTTAATAGTATTATTATGTAGAAATAGAACATAACTGTATGCCTATTCCTATTGAAATATATTTAGTATAAAAAGGTTATGATTAAGTATAAGCAATAATCACAGATTACTAAAATGCTTTTTTGAGTCTCTTTAACAGTCTTTTACATTCCTCATGGAGTTGTGTATATTTTATTTACAAAGAAGAAAATGCTATGATAAATGAGTAAATTGCCCTACTTTGTTTCAAAAAAGATTTCAGGCAGCTTAAAAGGAAAAGAACCCCGGCTGGTGTGGCTCAGTGGTTGAGTGTTGACCTATGAGCCAGAGATCGAGGTTTGATTCTTGGTTGGAGCCCAGGTTGTGGGCTCGATTCCCGGTGAGGGGTGTGCAGGAGGCAGCCTATCTATGATTCTGTCTCATCATTAATGTTTCTATCTCTCCTCTCCCTTCCTCTCTGAAATCAATAAATATGTTTTCTTTAAGAAGGAAATGAAGACAGAGTAGAGGAAGTAACCTACCCAAGGCCACACACAGCCCGCGGACTCCTGGTCCGTGTCCCTCATTACTCAACGTTCTGTTTTATCCTGAGTCTGGATTTCAGCATCTGTTAGTACTTCTAATTGCAAGTGAAGATAAAACACTATCCTATGAATGCCTAAGATATTATAGACTTAACCTGTCATCTTATATCATAGACTTCCTCTTACTGCTCTATATATTCAGAAACACATCTCACTCAGCCTGCACGACATTGTCCTAGTTTGAGTTTTGGCACGTAGAGGAGGTGTAAGTTTTAGGTACTCGCCTCTGTTGGTCACTTCATAAACCATTGTGCATTCTCATGGACAGTTTTTAAAAAATATATTACAAAATGCAGTTCTTTATTAGCTTTGCCTGATATGAATAAGTCTTTGACTCATTTGTTTTTTTCAGCGCTGAGTTCATAACCCTCAACGATTGCCTGCAGCTGGCCTATCTGCCTTCCAAAAGGAGCCACATGTTGTTGCTCTATCCCCGTGAGATCCTGATCCTGGACCTCGAGGTGAACCAGACGGTGGGCGTGATCGCAATAGAGCGCACGGGCGTCCCGTTTCTGCAGGTACCAGCAGCTGATCTTGTCTCCCACAGGGCGGTTGTAGGGGAAGAGTATGACCATGCGAAGAGCCTTAGTTTGACTCCCTGCTTTCTGTTTATTAAAAATTAACTGTTAACATTTATTTTTTTACATTTTTGATTGACTTGAGGCCTCCTAGAAACTCTTCTGATTGATCTGGAGATATTTACTGAACTATTTAAGTTACATGGATAAAGACAATTTTTTTATAATTATAAATGGATTTTTAAAATATTCATTTAGTTTTAAAACTTGAGAACTATGTAGTATATTTTTGTGTTTGTCTTTTTTCTTTTAGCCTATATTCTCTACATATGAACTTATGAATCCCACAGTATATACTCTTTAATTTATTTTGTTTTAAAAAAATAAATGAATCATCTGTTTAAAGGTAATACCCTGCTTTCAACGAGATGGTTTATTTTGCCTACATGAGAATGGTTGCATAACTTTACGTGTTCGAAGATCTTATAATAGTATTTTCACCACTTCAAATGAGGAACCAGGTGAGTTTCTATCTCACAGTAATGTTACTTTTTTTCAGAATTATTTCATAAAGCCAGTACCAGCTAAATCTTAGAGTTAACGAGAATCCTGGCCTTGAGAAAGAAGAATGTTACGATGTGAGGCCTGGAGCATCTCCTGGTGTGGCGACAGGGCCCCTACATGCCACAGGAGCAGCCGGTTGTCACTCCTAATGGCTTCCAGGGCCAAGCAGCTGTGATGTTTTATGAATTTTTCTTCAGCACAAGCCCAGCCTTGTGTGCATGTTTGTTTCACCCCCGACCTTTCCTCTGCTTCAGGAATCTCCCTGTGAAGTGACAGGAAGTAAGGCTCTGGGTCGTTCTGTTGTCAGTCTCAATCTCACCCTGAGAAGAACAATTCTGTTTTGTGAAGTCATGTGCTACGTACTAGTCATGAAGTGACGTTAACATCTTTTGTAAAGTATAGTGATTTGCAGGCTTATTACAGACATGTAAATTAGGATGTTCATGATGTAATCATATATCACCGTCCAGAACCTTTTATTTTAGAGACATTAAAAAACAGGCTATCTTTTTTTTTTTTTAAGTATATTTTTTATTGATTTCAGAGAGGAAGGGAGAGGAGATAGAAACATCAATGATGAGGGAAAATTATGGATTGGCTGCCTCCTGCACACCCCCTACTGGGGATCGAGCCTGCAACCTGGACATGTGCCCTTAACCAGAATCTCTTCAGTCTACAGGCCAACACTCTATTCACTGAGCCAAACCAGCTAGGGCAAAAACACAAGCTATCTTGATTATAATTGTCATTTTGGAAATGAAACTTGGAGTAGACAATCAATAAAGTAATTATCTATATATTCTGATGAAATTGTTGAAAGAGAAGCCATTCTTGACAGACTTTTCATTAATGAAGGACTGGTAACCTTAGTGGAGGTTTTATTTGAAGTAAAGGGACTAGCAGTGATGCTGATGGGGTTGGTTACTGACAGTGACAAGAAGGCGCCACTGTGTTCAGATGCAGATCCCGTCCAGGAGCTCACCTACGACTTACGCAGCCAGTGCGACGCCATCCGCGTGACGAAGACAGTCCGCCCCCTCAGCATGGTGTGCTGCCCCGTCAACGAGAACGCCGCCGCCCTCGTGGTGAGCGACGGCCGGGTCATGATATGGGAGCTGAGGTCTGCCGTTTGCAGTCGAAGTGCACGGAGCGGGTAAGCCATGCAGTAGGGCTCTTCCTTTGTTTTCTGTTTCTTTTTTTTTCCTTTTTAATTGCCAGAATCATAAAAATAGCAGGGCCTTTTAAAGTGATAATTAAGACTTTATGTAAAGCTGCTGGAGATGTTTCACTTTGGGTGAGGAAGTGAGAGGTTGGCTAGCTGCTGTCATGGGCTGCAGGTGTTAAGGATGCGAACCAGCTAACCACGGTGTCCTTGCAGTGGCCCCGGCGTGTCGCCTCTGTTCGCCCCGGTGTCTTTCTGTGGGGCTCCGGTGGGGGTGCTGCAGAACCAACTCCCGGACCTCTCTCTGGACAACATGATCGGTGAGCTTTCGTTCTCCCTGACTTCCACGTTGTGGATCCTTCCTAAAGGCACAGTTAATAGTCCAGGACTTGCAGTTACAAAGGCGAAGTGAGTGCTTGAGAAAGCGGCAGTGGGAGAGCCCGAGCTCTGTGCGCCCAGACGCACGGTGACATTGATGGATGAGCAATAACGAGCTGGGAAGGAGCGAGGCAATTATTTAAACTGGAGACACACATTGTCTTGTTTACATGCTGGTGAGCCTTCCTTTCAAATGCTTATTTGCAGTTAAAGTAATGCTTTCAACTTGTTCCTTTAACTTAGGGCCAGTATAAATTAAACGAAGAATAAAGATTAAATAACTAGAAATTATAAATACTGTATGCCAAGAAATTTTGATGTCTAATTCTTTTAAAATTGTAGCTGTGGTTTATAAAGGATTTTGTGTATCATTTGTTCTTCCACAATGTAATTGAAAATCGCTTTTATTTAGTAGGTTTTTTTGTTGAAATGCTTGATAGATGATATACAAGAAAAGTGCATTACCTTATTAATCGTTTTTATGTTGTTTTTTTTTTTATTATTGATTTCAGAGAGGAAGGGGTAGCGACATCAGTGATAAGAGAATCATTGATCTGCTGCCTCCTGCACACCCCCTATGGGGGATTAAGCTCACAACCTGGGCATGTTCCCTGATGAGAAATTGGACCTTGACCTCCTGGTTCATAGGTTGATGCTCAACCACTGAGCCAGGGAAGCTAGGCACTTACTAATCTTTTTAATCAGAGAGGACATTTATTGGTTGCTCAGCATTAGATTCAGTGCTGTGCTAAATGCTCTGTAGGTAGGTGATGTTATTTCCATTTTGTGTTTGTGGGAACTGAGACCCCGAGATATTTTTAAAACTTTCTTAGAGCCACACAGCCAGTATGTGGAGAGCCAGAGGAACCTGCTCACCATGTGGCCTCGGCAGGACAGACCTCCAGCCTCGGCTCTCTCATGGCTCCTGAAGGCGTCAAGTCCTTTTGCTCAGTGTCACTTTTAAATCTCAAATTCTCCTCCTACCTGCCAGGCATAAATCCATATTAGGAAGTTTGGACACATACTCGTTTTGCAAAATGCATTTTATCAGTAACACAATTTTCTGAGTTAATTGACCTTGTCTTCACTTGATAAAAATATTAAATTGAAAAGAATTACGAACACACGCATGCTCAGAACTAATTGGTAATATGAAAGACATTGGGATTTTTATGCTGATTAAGTAAGCGATACAAATTACACGTTCAAGAGACAGAAGGATACAGATTGTGCACTAGTTCTTGACAGTGTAAAAGTATTAAATCTTTGTTACTTGTTAATTAAAACTTTTAATTAAATTTTTAATTTGAAATTCACTATTTCTTTAATGATAATTGAAAGCAGTTCAGTTAAATACGAGGCCTGATTTCTATTTGTTGGGTAAAGGCTACTGCTTATTAAGGCCTGCTCTACCCTGCCTGTGAGTTGCCGCTGTGGAAGGTGCTCGCACAGATGTGCGGGAGGGGCTCTCACATGTGGAAGGTGCTTGCACAGACATGTGTGGGAGGTGCTTGCATAGACATGTGTGGGAGGTCCTTGCATAGACATGTGTGGGAGGTGCTCACACAGACGTGTGGGAGGTGCTCACACAGACGTGTGGTAGTTTTGGGAGTCACTGCATGATGCTGGGGTGGTGAGGGTATAGTTGCCTGTGAGCTTCCTGTTCCTTTAGATCCGTCCTTTGTAACCAAAGACTGATACTACATATAGCGCTGTTCCTAAGGGATCACTTTATTTGCATTAAATTGGTGGCCATTTTTTTTCTGTATATTTTATGGATTTTAAAACAACTATTAGAAGAACTTCATAGCTTCGAAAGATTATATTCAGAGTCCTAACACACACTCTTAGTGTTTACATATTTCCTTAACACATAAGCGCCTGTCAGTTACCCGTGACTGACACTATACTTTCGTCAGGAAGACAAAACAGGCTGAGCGCTTACCGTGTTAAAATGTACATGTATGTGTGTATTCACTGTGCTATCACATATTCTTTACTGTAGTATTTTTGACATTTTAATCCAGTAGTGGTGTATAGGAAGAAAGTTTGTTTGCCCTTGCTAGTGAACAGGATTGATTTTGTTGTAGTTTTCATATTTGTTACACTTGTTTTTATTGGAGTCATCTTTTTAGTTTGATACTTAATTTCCTAACATTATAATAAAATGTTATATCTGAAAGTTATGCCATTTAATACCTAGCTCTTGGCAGTTACAGGTTATATGTATTATAATATACACTTTATATATTAACATATAATGGATGTAAGTGTAAAGCTTACATTTTGTAAGATTTCTTATTAGAAAGCCATGTTAGTTCTCGAACCTGTTGTGTGTTGTGTGATTCTGGGTGCCTTTTACTGTCATCGATTGAGAGTCACTCCACGGAAACGACCCTCTAACCGAGGGCCTTGGTTTGTCTTCGGTGCCCTAATGCCCGGAGCTCTGGCTGACACAGTGTTTCTTAGGAGACAGTTGCATTCTGGAAGCATGCCCGGGAGTTTCTGGCTCGAGGCGCCAGGCAGCGTGCGGCAGGGCCCACAGCCAAGGGCAGGGCCGCTCCTGCTTCCGCCCGCGGCGCACAGCTCACCTTTGGCCCTGGTGTGCTCTATGAGGATCGCACACATTGTAATTGATGCATTGATCTTGATTACCAATCAGGGCAAAGCGCAATTGCCGGGGAAGAGCATCCCAAAGGCTCGGCGCTGCAGGAAGTGCACCTCAAATTCCTGCTCACGGGACTGATTTCAGGACTGCCCGCGCCACCGTTCACCGTCCGTATGTGTCCCCCGTTGACCACAAAGAACATCAAGATGTATCAGCCATTGCTTGCTGTTGGTGAGTGTTGGACCTGTTTTTGTTTGTTGGTTTGTTTATTAAGACATTTTTATGGTTTTTAGAGAGAGTGAGAGGAGAGAGAGAGAAACATTTTAGAGGAAAACATTGATCGCTGCCTCCACATAGGTATGGAGCCTGCAGCCCGGGCATGTGTCCTGACCAGGAATTGATCCTGCAACCCTCTGGTGCAGGGGATAATGCCCAACCCCACTGAGCCACACCGGCCAGGGCAAGGACCTGTTTGTCTTTAGTTCATCATGCATGTTTTACAAGACTTTTAACTTGCTAGTTACTGGAAAATCCTTGTTTATCTTTGAGAAGAAAGAGGAAGAGGCTAAGTGAAATTGTTTTTTTTAAAGCTGCAATTTGTTGGCCTCTGGCTTTTTCCCCAGGTCTATGAACAGGTTCTTTGTGTTTTATTTTATGTTTCTAAAATGAAAACTTGACTACATTTATTTTGTTGCTGGTATGTCTGAGTTATGCTAGTATGTCAGCTGAATGGCTGACATGTGAGTACTGATGGTTCATTTGAATATTGCTATTTGGCAACATTTTTTCCCTCATGTTTTTTTTTTTTTTTTTTTTAAATATATTTTATTGATTTTCCACAGAGAGGAAGAGAGAGGGACAGAGAGCTAGAAACATCGATGAGAGAGAATCATCAATCAGCTGCCTCTTACACACCCCCTACTGGGATGTGCCTGCAACCAAGGTACATGCCCTTGACCAGAACTGAACCCGGGACCTTTCAGTCCGCAGACCAACAACGCTCTATCCACTGAGCCAAACCGGTTTCGGCTCCCTCATGTTTTTCATTACTATCTTCTGAAAGTGATTGGAATTTTAAGGTTCAGTAAGATTTCAGAGCACACAAGATCAGGCCCATTTTTGATAGGAAGGAAGACAGAATTTAAAATTTTTTTTATCACATAGCTTTGGTCCCTTTTATAAAAGAGAAATGTTGTAAATGATTGAAATCTTGAGAAAAGACTCATGTTGGGAAGATCTGGACCTCCCGCTGGGTAACTGCTCTCCTGTGTGTGCAGGTACAGGTAACGGCTCCGTCCTGGTGTACCACCTGACCAGCGGACTGCTGCACAAGGAGCTGAGCGTCCACTCGTGTGAAGTCAGGTGAGTGCCCTTGTCACCGACACCACGCCCCGGCGCTCTGCTCGGGTGCTCTGCCGTGTGGTGAAGCCCTGAGAGCTCCGCACGTCAGCAGTCGCATCAGGCAGCGGCTCGCTCAGCGAGGATGAGCGCCGATGGCCGCCGTCTGTGAGGGTCGTGCAGGGAGCGCCGCTCCACACTTCCATCGGGCGACGAGGGGTTTCTCCTGAGGCTCGGGCTGTTTTCTTACTGGAAATCACTGTTTCCTTGGTCGGGTTTATCAGCTGGTTTGTCATTTCTATAAAGATCCCTTATGAAAATTTTAATATGGTCATTTTAATAATTAATCTCATTTATGTTTTTGTTTAAGCACCATGAGAACAGAACCAAACGCTGGCGTTGTAAAATTTCGAGATGTGATCTTTTTGTGAGTGTGCAGACATAGTGAGGGAGAGCCAGAGTGACAGAGGGTGCGTGCCTCTTGCTTTCTCTCTTCTCATGGCCTTGCTTTGCTGATTGTATGGCTGTTTCCCTTTTGTGCCCGAGCAAGGATGGACTGTGTAATGTAAAGACATTAAATTGTCAGTATTGTTGACAATATTATAACAAACGTATCATCTATACTTTCTCTATACTTTTGTTATAATATCATCTATACTTTTCTTTATATGTTTGTTATAATTGTTAGCGAACCCTTAAAGAGCACACTATTCTGAGTAAACGCCGTGTCTGAAGGGGCAGAGGTTGGCCCTGAGGGTATCCGAGCTGCTGAGGGGGTGAAGGCTCCTGAGGAGTTCGATGATCTCTTCTCCCAGGCGCAGTGCTCTGTGGTGCAGCCGGGATGATCCACCCTGTGCCTCCCCTGTGTCTCCCTGCTACACGCCTTGGGGCACATTGTCTCCAAAAGCTGGCCTCTGCCTCCTCCTCTGCAGGAGTCTGTGTGCCCACAGCTCCGACAGCCTCCGCCTTTCCTCGTGGCAGCACCAGCAGCCAGACTCCACTTGCCCACACTCGCTCTCAGGTTAGGTACTCACACTCAGCAGGCATTCCTCCCATTGAACCACCTCTCAGTTCCTGGTGGGAGGCCTTCCTTCCCAGTTTACTGGGGGGCCTCCTGCGGATGGATGGTGTGTGCACCTGAGCAGGAGACGTTTTGACAGTAAGGTAAAAATTTGGCCGAGCCAGGATCCATGTTAGGACTCTGGCTTCTGGAAAATCAAGCACATTTTCCTTCTCTCTGAACACTGGCATGTTGAATGAAGGCAATAGCTAGTCCCAGTGAGCTGCTCATTTTTTAACGTCAGACTTGTTCTCCTGGCTCTGTTGGGTCCTAGATGTCAGTCAGTCCATAACTTAGAGTTGTTATGGTAATACTTATTACTGAGTGACACTGAGAGTGCCTAGAAACTGTTACCTGGATTCCAGACAACTCCAGGGGTACATTCCTCACTCGTGCTGGTGTGAAGGATACACAGATCTGGACCCTATTTCATATGGATTCTCCCTCTTAATTGCCATTTTGAAGATAATTCACCTTTTATATTCAGAGATGTTACCCAAGAAGATGCTGACATCCTGCTGTCCTGTGCTTCAATTAATGCAATTATAGCATCATAATTACAAAAGCCATTATGAAAATCTCACAGCGTGTTATAAAAACTGCTGAACTTATTAGCAATCAACCCAGTATGCTCTGGATATTCATATGCAAATTAAAGGCTAGCTTTTAGAAAGTTGTTTTTCTACCCCATGCTAAATATGTTGTGTAAAACCACTTAGTCTGAAGCACTTGAGTCTCACGCACGCTCACGGCCAGGCATCGCCCAGCTGCAAGTTGTCTCTGTGTGGTCTTTGAAAGTCATGGTGTTTTAACCAGTTACCTTTTATTGAGCAGCTTCTGTGCCTGCAAATAGACAGGTGTGGCTCATGATCTGATGGAAGATTCCTAGAAGTAGGTGAAGTGGATACATGTCAGTTTTCTTAGGTTATTAGCTTGTGTCTTTGTCCAGTAGACTAGATTATAATTCTAGAGGCCCGGTGCACAAATTCGTGCATGGATGGGGTTCCTTGGCCTGCCCAGCAATCGGGGCTGATCTGGGTTGGCTAAGGGAGGTTGGCTGTAGGAGCACACTGACCCCAAGGGGGCAGCTCCTGCGTTGAGTGTCTGCCCCTTGGTGGTCAATGCACATAATGGCGACCAGTTGCAAAGGTTGCTTAGGCTTTTATATATATAGATAGCCCAATGCTATTTTCAGTATCAGAAATTATTAGAATAGTAGTTTATATGGATATCAGAACATTGTCTGGCTCAGTGCTGTTTTGAGGAAATGGAGTGATTTGTGGAAAGTAAAATGATCTCTGTTTTGTCTTTCAATAAATTTGCAGACGTTCGTTTTATATAATCCCAGAACTTTAGGGCCTGTCAGGAAGTGTGTGCTCCCCCAGCACCTGCACCATGTCCTGGGAAGGACTAGAAGTAAATGGTGGCACCCGTCCCCAGTGGGGGTCCACGCGCCCAGCAGGAAACCTTAGGGGGTCAGAACCCCAGACATTGCTCAGTAGTTAGGGATCCTACAGAACTTGTCTGGATAGAGTCCGAGCGTGAGCTGCTGCCCTCCCATTGTGTGTGAAGCTCAGTGCACAGTATAACCTAAGCAATAGTTTCTAATCCTCAGAGCAAGCACTGGGTGTTTAGCTGTGTCTGACAAGAGTTTTCACTCTTTTGAGAAATAACCCCTCGTCTCATCTACTCTGAGGTCCCACCTGATTTTCTTTCTCTGCAGTAGATCAGTAGGTGTGGGATGGACATACCAGCTGCTGCTGGAATCAATTGGCTCAAAGACAGCACGCCTGGTGTTAGAATAAAATCAAATCAAATAATAGCCACCCCCGTTCTGTATGTGTGGACCCTGGGACATCCTGTAAGCCAGGGGGCAGGCACTCCTTGAATAGGTGTGGGACTAACATAAGACAGAATGCGAGGCTTTTCTCCACCTCGCTCATTTAACCAGGGGAGTTTACCACCCGGGCAGCGTGTCCTGTGCCTGTGAGACGCACTGGCCCCTCCCTTCAGAGAGAGAGAGTACGTCTAGGTCTAGTGCCGTTTCTCCCCCCCGGCCCCTCGTCCCCACCGGCCCCTCATCCCCCCCGGTCCCTCGGCTCCTCGGTGGTGCAGGCTTCCAGGCACAGCCCTGTGCGCCCTCTGGTCTCAGCTTCATGGTCCTGGAAGCCTCGCCTGCCCCGAGGGACTGACAGCTCTGCTGACCTCTGCGCCTCTCCGGTCCTCGGGAGCTAGAATGATGTGCGATCGCTCCTGCTGCATCGGAAGCTCAGGACGGCAGCGTTCCCAGGGCCTAGCGCACCCACTGGCACGCACCGGGTACTCGGGGTGTGTTTTTATAAACGTGGAGTGGAGCACTGGGGCTGGAGTTGTCAGTGCCCGGCGACAGTGGCCGTCCTGGCGGAGCCGAGCGGTTCAGACGCCAGCAGTGAGGCCAGCAGCCAGGCTCGGAGCGTGCCCTGAGGTTCGTCTGATTGAAGCCTCAGACTTAGGAGCAGAGTGAGTCCAAGCTGACTCTCCTCTTGTTCAGTCTTTGGAGAAAACCGAATGAGGATGTTACCCGTCAGGAGAAAGAGAAACTGGAGACAGGACTTCCCCAGTGGTGACTGACCACATCGGTTTGCATTTGACAAGGGGCGGGGCCTCTTCCAGATCGCACGGCTCAGTGTGTGTGGCTTGCTTTGGGAGTTTCTGCCTCCTGACCAAGAATGCTGATAAAATTTGATAAAATTCCTAAGTGGACTCAACTTCAAGCAGTCTGCTCAGAATATTTCTGTACCACTTGTTTTTAAGCAGAGGAATTCCCAGAAACCACCGCAGCATGACTCCTTTACCAGATTTTAAGTTATTTTATTGCTGCTACCGATGCCAATAGCCAAACTGTGTTGTCAGTATCTGGAGATAAAGTTTTAACTAGAAATAATTTCATATGTGTTGGAAATATATGGTAATTTAGGCTCAAATAAGAAATTATGTTAATGTTACTTCTTAATTAACTTGTATAATTTAGGTCTTGGGAAAACTTACTTGTCAAATAACTTTTTCAAACAGAAAAGGTATTAGATTAATCTTTAATTTCTCATTCTAGGGGTATTGAGTGGACGAGTTTGACTGGCTTCCTTTCTTTTGCTACGTCAACACCGAACAATATGGGGCTGGTGAGGAACGAGCTTCAGCTGGTTGACCTTCCCACAGGTGTGTTGCCGGTGGCAACGGCTGGTCATGCGATCAGAGCCATTGCCATTCTTGTATGGGCTCTGAAGCTCTTGCTTCCCCACGGAGCTCTGTTGCTGGGTCTGTAAGTGCGTGTCTTGCTGCTGTTCTCTCACCGTGTCCTGGGGAGGACTCAGTGTTGTTTGTACGCAAATGGTGTCACCACAGGCGTGTGACGAAGGGAGCCCCATTGGCCTGAACAGGAGATTCATAAATACATATGACATCGGTTCTTCTTTTGTACACAGTTACAGATAGATAGCAGAAGTTCTGTTTTAAAATAAATCCAGGTAGCTCAACTCAGATTCTGTTTCAGAATTTTGGACTTTAAAGGAAATCCTTAAAAAACTTACAGGTGAGGATTGTTTCTAAATGATCGAATTTAAGACATTTGTTAGTCTCTGGCTGACTAAACAGGGAGATTTAATTTGGGAGCTTAAAGACTTTACCATAGGAAACTTCCTGTAAAGTAACTTGTTCAGAATTGTTAAAAACTACAGCCCAAAGAATTTCAAAGTGAAAAACTTGAAAGTAGAATAAGGTGAGGATTTCAAATTATTTTATAGCACATGCATTGATTTCAAATAAATTTTTTTTTACAAAATTGTGGTTTCTTTAAAATGCCATAGCAATATGAATATATGTAGATAGTTTTAACCGCATGTGTGTGTAATGT